ATATATATATATATATATGGCGATAATACCACATACTATTGAGCCACTCAAAATTAACGCATGGGAAATTCCCTGATCGCGACAGCCCTAATACTATAATCACATATTGTCTAGATTTTTGTCTTCTGGATGCCTTTAAATGTGTACTTGCACTTTATCAAAATGTTAAGTTAAAAACAGTACAACTTAAATAATTCGAAGAAGCGGTCAACAGGTTTTACACTATTTGTCTATTTAAACACTTTTTTATTAAATGATTATTTGTTTATAAGATTTCATTTCTTCAGAATATATAAAAACAGAAATACTGACTTCCATCAAAGGCTAGTGGTCAACTGATACAGCTTTTTTTAATGGTTGATGGTGATAATTTAGAGAGCAGCGTAGCCGATGGCCATTATAGAGCCGATACATTTGATATCACACAATTCAATATTCAATAGCACATTCATAACCATTGCTGCAATTTGGAGAAGTTTGCTTATTTTCTGCAATGTTATATTTTAAAAATATATATAGTGTTTTCTTTTGTTAGACAGAGACATAACTCAAAATAATGAATGGTCTATAAATCTGTAATTAAGTTCTGTGCATTCAGGATATAAGAGAGAGCTGCCTACCCTCAGAGTCCCAGTTATGCCTTTGCTTAGCCAGTCTCTGTAGACGAGATCTCACGTTGGAGAGGCCTGGGGTTGGTGCATCTTTGGCTCCATCTAGAGCAGCGTGCTTCGTTACACTATCTGTGCTTTTTGCTGGAGATTGAGGAGGGCGCATCATCTTTTCAGTGTCTGGAGGAGGTCGAGTGGGCAGCACTTCTGGTTCTGGTGTACAACGAGCAGACCCTTGCTCCACAGGCATGGGACGAACTCTGCTTGGAACCAGGGGTGGCTTCTTGTCCGTCATAGGCTCAGAGGCTGTCATTTGCGGGGCCATTGGTTGTTTGTTTTCTTCTCCAGAAAGGAGAGTATTTTCATCTGAACAGTGACGCTTTGAGGGGGATGGCTTGGAAGAGGGAAGTGCTATCCAAAAAAGAAGAAAACGTATTTTTAGGCTATAGAAGGAAAGTAATGAAACATCTAATGTTCATGTCAAAACAGGTATACAACAAAATAACATTTACAAAACCAAACCTTTTTCAATGGTCGGCTCACTTATGACACTGTTTGTGTCTG